GGCTTGGCAGTTTATGGCTGACTGGGCCAAGAGTCAGGGACCAAGCAGAAGTGGGCATTTTTGTATCAAACATGAACTGGTTATAATTCCTTAGCCTGGAGGGGAAAATGATCATCTGCTTGAAGGCTATAGCATTCACTAAACCACCTAGTAAGTCATCCATCCAACCAGTATTTATTGAATGCCCACTCTGTGCCAGACACTGTGAGAGAGAGTAAGATAAACTTCTCTATTTAAGGCATCTATTGCATTTTATATAGCAGCCCTTCACAGGCCAACTTAGGGATATCATGGGTTCGGTCTCAGACCATAGCAATAAAGCATGATCTTTTTGCTGATGGAGGGTCTTGCCTTCAATTTGTAAATAATGTGACATCTGTGAAGTGCAATAAGGCAAAGCACAATAAAATGAGGTGTACTGCTCTGACCAATGTGGCTCAGTGGGTTGGGCATCATCCCACAAACTAAAACATTGCTAGTTCGATTCCTAGTCAGGGCACATGCCTGGGTTTCGGGCCAGGTCACTGGTTGGAGGTGTGCAAGAGGTGACTGATGTTTCTTTCCCCCTCTCTCTAAAAATAAAGTATTTTTTAAAAAAGATTATTTTATTTTTTTTTTGTAGAGAGTGGGAGGGAAAGAGAAAGAGAGGGAGAGAAACATTAATGTGTGGTTGCCTCTCATGTGCCCCACACTGGGCACCTAGCCTGAAACTCAGGCATGTGCCCTAGACTGGGAATTGAACCAGTGACACTGAGATTCTCAGGCCAGCACTCAACCACTAAGCCACATCAGCCAGGGCTAAAAATAAATAACATCTTAAAAAAAGAAAAGATATTTAAAAATATGAGGTATACCTATATTTAAGGGCCTTAAATTTTTTATGGAGAAAAAGAATCCCATAAACATGTAAGATCTATTTTTACTAAGGGAGCAGCGCCTATACGCCTTATTCTTGTGCTCTGGTTTATTTCTTTATAGCTCTTGTTATGACCTGATGTGTCTATCTGCTTATTGTCTGTTTTCTCCATTAGCATATACGCTCCATGGGGGTGGGGTTGGGGTGGGATGTGCCTTTACTGTTATGCTGTTGAATCCCTCAGGCCTAGAATGGAACAAGCACTAAACTCATAACTGATGAATGAAAGACTCTCCTCTCTATATAAAACCACTTATCACCTCTAGGTCCAAGTGTATACTTTTTAAATTAAAAACTATTATTAGTACTATTTTTTATTACAAAAACAAAAGACGCTTTAGGGAGCATAGCTGCTATAGACTGGGTTTAAGGTTTGGGCTAGAGAAAAGTTGTAATTGCCCAGGACCCGAATCCCAGTTCCTTTGTTGCCCTGCCTTACCTAAATTCAGCCTTTCACACCAGTGAGAGTCCTCTCTCTATATGGTAATTTTTCTCAGATTTTGGGCACTTCCCAGAAAGTGCAATCATTCTAGCATTTGGATTATAGCCACTGAATCATTGGTTCATTCTTTCATTTCGATGAAACATATTACACAAGTGTTTGCTAAGTCCCTCTTGCTGGGGGATGTTAAGACCATCAACATGTTTCTGTGCTCAATGAGCTTTGGTTCCTTGGGGGAACTCAGACACCTCCATGACCGAAACAGGCTGTCTGTTCAGTGAGTCTCCTGTGGACCATGCGGAGCCCTACTTGAGCTCAGAGGAAGGAGCACTCACTTTGGGGCTTTAGGTATCAGGGAAGGCTTCTTGATGGAGGTAGCATATGAGGGGAAGGCAGAAAGGCAGGCTGGCCAAACTTAGGGAGCAGCTAATGGTAGTGGGAGTCACAGAAAGGCCCAGAGAGGAAGGGGACTGTCCCTTTGGGGCATGCAGTAGAGGCTGTGCTCAGGCCCAGATAGGTGAACTGTAAGTGGACTGTGGAATTGGGTTGGAGTTGCTCTGGGAGGCCCTTGAATGCCAGACTTTGTAGTTTATACTTTATCACAAAGGCAACAGGAAGCCAAAACAAGTTTTAGAGCCAGTGAAGCTCTGTATAGTGGGGTTTTAGAAAGATTATTCTGATGGTCTGTGGACTGTTGAGCTGGAAAAAGGAGAAATTGGAGGAAGAGATGTTTGGAAAGGGAGAGACAAATGAACGGGAGATTTGGGACTGGGGACTCATAGGGGGAAGATATCGGGAAATGGATTTATTTGCTAGAGTTTATGAAGGGAAAGTCTTTCAGGTCTGGTGACTATGTGAGTGGAAATAAAAGCTGAGGGAGGGGATCATTAAGGGTGACTTGATGAAGCTTTCATGCCTTAGGGACTGGAGCAGTGATGACACTATGGGCAGAAATGTGAAGACCATTTGGAAAATTTCAGCTGGGGAAAAATGAGGATCTTTGTGGGGGTTTAGACATGAAGAGCCTGAAGTGGTGGTGGTGGGGCATCTGGTGGATGTACCCAGCAAGCCATTAGTAGCAAGTCAGCCATTGGGGTTCCTTGCCCTGCTGGTCTATGCCCCTAACGCTTAGCAGAAAATACTGGCCAAAAAATATGGAAAGATTAGGCTGAATTAGACTTTTGATTTCAAGGTATATACTCATCAGATTCAATAGAGTTACATATGCCCCATTTCCTCAGAGTGTTCATGGCAGGCCTGTGTGCACTGTGTCACCTTTTGTGAGTGTGTGATGTGGCAGGAGTCCAGCATTCTCATGAGGTAGTATGTAGACCTCTCCTAAGATAGCTGGTCAGCCCCCACCTCTCTCAGTGGTGGAACCTGGCCTGTTTCCCAAGTCTCAGAGTCTGACAGGGAAGATGTTGGAATGCTTGTGTGTGCTCTCAGTGATTGTGTCATTGACCCCTTTGGCTCTATCCAAGAAAGACCTTGTGCTGGGACTCATGCCTTAGCAAACCCCTTCCTGATGGAGAGTTATGAAAGCAGAAGGTGGGGCAATCGTCACTCACCTTTTCTACCTTCACAGACCTGATTTTGTAACTTCTGTTCCCCTTGGAGGTCGCCTACCATCTTCACTTATACTTTATTTTCCCTGGACAGTCATATCAGAAGCAGGGAGTGGGGCACAGGCTGCTGAGAAAGTTCAACCAACACAGAGGGAGGAGATTCAAGGCTTTGATGTGTCTGAGAGCTCTGCCAAGCAAAGCCCATTCATTACGATAGGGCCAACATATCAGTCCTGACAAACACCAGTTCTGGGTCCAGGCTGGTGGGAAATGAGGCTAACAGTTTCCACAGGGCCTGGCCTGCCATTAGGTGAGTCAGTGTGTTCCCCAGGACTTCAGCCAGAAGGCAGGGACAAGGGTTGCAGCTTTTATTTACTTTTTCCTCTTGGCATTGGCACTAGGTCCACAGAAGGCCTCCTTGACTAATTACCTCTCTTCCTGTGATCTCATCAGCCAAAACACAGCTTCAGTCAGGGAAGCAGAGCCCCTGTGCCTAAAAGAGCTTCCATGATGTCCTAGGTCACCAGGCTTGGACTGAGACCTGCTTGGGGTTTAAAATCCCAGCTCCTCAGTTTTTCAACATAAAAAATGAAGGAAATAATTTTAGCTTCACAAGCCACTTTCAAGATTGAGGGGGATAATGTATGTAAAGCACTTAGCACTATGCTCTAGCCCAGTAAGTGGTAGTTATTATTAATAGTACACCTTCTTGAGCAGCAGTATAGTAGTGATTAGTAGTGTAGTTTCTGGAGTTAGACAGTGTGGACTAGGTGGGTTTGAATCTTGAGTCCTCTTTTTTCTTGTTGAGTGACCTTAGGCAACTTTATCTTGCTGAGACTCAGTTTCCTCATTTATAAAATGGGAATAATAACTACCTGTCTCACAGGGTCACTGTGAGGATTGAATTATGCAAACCAAACATTTAGCACAATTGCCGGTACATACAAAAGGTACAACAAAAGGGAACTAATACTACCACTACTAGTATTATCATTTTTATTGTGATCTTTTCAACCCTGTATCTTTCAGAGTCTAGCTCAAAGTGCCATCCTTCCCACAAACCCCATTAATCACTTTTCTGATCTTCATTGATTTGGATTCCTCTTACAATCCATCTTGTACTGTTTCTGTTTGTGACTGTGCCCTCCAAAAATATAACTGAACCTTTCAGGCTCACCTTGCTCCCACCTTTAGGCCTGTCTTACACATCATTATTGGGTCCAAAAAAGCCACATCCAATCCTGAGAGCACTGACATCAGAGAACTGCATTGCGCAATACACAGCAAAAGTTCTTAGAATTGTTTTAAAAACAGCTCTATTTCTTCCAGTTTCCACTCCCTAAGACGTTGCTCATTTCCACCAGCCCTCTTCTCCAAGTGCCCTAGGGGGAATATGTATAGAATATAAAATGGATTCCATTTCTTGGGGGACCCAGGGGGATGAAGACACACATTTACATAAATAAATATACATTTATTTTATATAAAGTATATGAATGGGTATATTTATATTCCCTTTGTGTCCTCAAGGAATCCATTCATTCAACAAATAGTTAGCGCCCACTTTGTGTCCGCACCAACTATCTGTTAGAAGGAAAGCGTAGAGTTTCTAGCTGTCACGGAACTTACATTCTACTGAGAAACACTGAAGAAATATAAAATTTCAGCTATAGCAAGTGCTCTAAAAACAACACGGGTCTCTGTGATGAAGGGTACTGTATACTCCTGATATTCTATTGGGTGCTCGGGGCGGACTCGTAGATGAAATCTGATCCGAGATTCATTTTATGAACGCGGATGATATATACATGTGAGAGATCTTGGTGGTTTAAAAACTGGAGGCCAACTCTCACCCACCGTGGCGCCTTCTTGAGCAGCTGAGCGTTCCGCGGACCTCCGTGGGCCCAATATTCACACACCGCGGCGCCGGGGGCGCTTGCGCATTGGCCGCCTCCAGCCCGACGAGGGCGGTGTGGGGCACCCCCCACCCCCTGTGACGCCATCCTTCCCACAGCCCCCGCCCCGACGCCCGCAGACTCGCGCGCATGCTCCGAACCCCGCCCCCTTGCGTCACAGAATGGCCTCGGACACCCAAGCAGTCCCTGACGTGTCGGGAGGAGCCGCTCGCGGAGGGACGTGGAGTGGAGCTCGGGGCTGCGCAGGGGAGCGGAGTTGAGCTGCTGGGCTGGCCTGGTCAGGCAAACGGAGCGGAGACGTCGGTCGGGTAGCGGCGAACATGCGCGTTTGATACCTTGGAGGTGAGTCTGCGGTGCGGGGCGGCTCAGAGGGTGACTGGCCGGGCGGGCAACGCCAAGGCCTCTCCCTGGGGAGCCTCCCGGGCCCTGGGGCTGTCTGAGGACCGGCCGGGCCGGACGGAGCAGGGTTCTGGGGTAGCCAGCCGGGGGGCAACTGTTCCAGCTGCTCTAACTGCTCTCTAGCCACCCTGGTCCGAGGTGTGGTGTAGTGGAGGCTCCTGCAAAGGAGCGAGCTCGGTGGCCTCCGGAGGCTGTGCCGGTGTCCGGGGGTGGGTGAGGGGTGCGTGGACGGAGGCCGGGACGTGGCACCGTGGGCCTGGGCGCTGGTGGCGCAAGGAGTGGCTCAGCTGGAGTGGCAGCGTCGTGCCCAGCCTTCTCCCCGCCCCTTCCCCCATAAGTGCCTTCAGCTGCAAGGGTTGTTTGGAGCCGGGTTGAATTTGAGCTCTCTTCGCTTCTCCCATCTGGGGGCGAGAGCGGAAGCTGCCCACGTTGGGCTCCGACAGCATTCCCGTGACTGTCCGCCCCGAACGGCCAGTCGCCCCTCTTGGAGTTCAGAGAAGTGTCACCGAGCGGGTTTGCTTTGCTTGTGCTCGCCTCCTTTTTGCTGGTAAGCGACGAAGTAAACCTGTAAGTTTTGCGAAGGAAGTGAAGGTCCTTTCACTACAGCGCCTTCACATATTTTAGAACACTCTTGCTATGGCTCTTGACCCTCATCGTCCTGTGGTTGTGCCTGATTGTGTTATCACCGTTTGACGGATGGGGAAATTGAGCCCGGGTGGGGTGGGAGGTATTAAGTGATTTATACTGTGGATTCTACCAACTTGTGAGTGGGTTCGCTTGTCTCAGAATTTACATATCTGGACTCGGAGTTACAGGGTTTTTTGGGGTGTGTGTGTGAGATTTTTATACCCTTCTCAGGTATAAAGCAAAGCAATACATTTGATTTGCCAAAAATACTTGTATACCAGAAGCTAGTAGAAAACATTTAAATGTTTTTGAGCAGACTCAGGATAAGAACTGCTACTCAGTTACAAGAAAAATCCTACTCCGAAACGTGTTCACGGGTTGCTAGCTAATTATCTTGTCTGATAAATTGTGTCCTTTGTTTTAAATTGAATTTATTTGGGTTACATCGGTTAATAAAATTATATAGGTTTCAGAAGTACTCTTCTATAATACATCATCAGTATATTGTAAGAGACCACCCCAGGTCATGTCTCTTTCCATCATCATTTATCCCCCTATTATCCTCTTCTACCTTCCCCACCCCTCTTTCCCTCTGGGGATCACCATACTGTTGTCTGTCCCTGTTATTTTGTTCTTAACCCACTTGACAAATAGGGAGGTAATGGCTTTGCTAAATCATGAACTTGTTGGCATAGCATTAAGTCATGGGTTGAAGAGAAGGGGAAATGAGTAAGATATTTCTTCTGAATTTTTATTAAAATTTTTTGAAATTGGAGATCACAAGGAACAGAGAAAACCTTTGGCTAGCCCTGGTTCAGATAAAAGTTGCTAAATCTAATGAAGCTGTTCTATTTTAGTTCTGTTTTGACTCTTAATTAAGTAAATTGAAGTTAGAGAAGGAATACTTAAAATATGGAGAAACTTCAGTAAAAACTTAGCTCTTGCTTTCATGACATCCACAAAACTTACTTTTATTTTCATTTTAAACCATGCTGAGATAAATTTGGTTACTTAAAGCTTAAAATTATTTCTGGCATAAGTTTCCAAGCACTTCATAAGGTAGAAAAAAGTTTGGTAGGACCAAAATGGAGACCATATTTATGATCAACTTTGAAAAGTTAAACATTCTGTAAATGTCACTTTTGGGAGAAATAGAAGAATTTTGGTAGAAAGACAGGTATTACCTACAGCAGTGATTTTCAAGTAGTGTGCTGCAAAAATTCTTAAAACATGTAATACCTGACTATTCAGTCAGGGGCACTGCCTTCTTTTCCTGTAGGTCATCAGATAAAAAAATGACAACAGCTCACACAGCATAGCCATTCAGTGTGAATGAATCAAAAGTATACCTATTTTTTGTCAGATTGGCAAAAACTATATCTTTTGGTGTGCTGTAGAATTTTAGTAATTAGTTTATGTGTGCCATGAGATAAAAAAGGTTGAAAATCGCTGACACACAGTGAATCCAAAAGAACTTCTAGCCTCATTAGCGCATTCTGCAACTATTAACAAGAAGACAATATCGTTACCATTGCACAAAGAGAAGTTTTTTTTTTGTAAATATAGCATTTTGGACAAGTTGTTTTATACCCAAACAAGTTGATTTGTCAGTTGCTAGATACCTGAATGATATATGCAGTATGATAACACCCCATGTAATAGTTGTTATACTTTAGAGATACATTAACTCTGTGCACATGAGACATGGTATTGAGGGAAGATTTGGGTAGCAAAGAACATAATTATCTACCTTTATTTCATCTTCAGAAGATTGTAGATGTATTATTAAAACCTCTTTTAGCAGTGTAGTTTTCTATATTGGCTAACTTTCTATAGCCTTAATACCTCTAGTTACATAGTTTCAAATAACACAGTGAACATATCCTCCCACTGTAACTTGAAGCCAACTGAACAGACTTGGCAGCCCCTGAGAAGGTTTTTTGAATTTCCACAGCAGTAGCAAACTTTCATCATTTGTAAAAAACCTCAATTTTTGTAAAAGGTGAGTCTGGTGAATAAAATTGGAGTGATAAAGCTGGGTAATACCAGTTAAGGAAGCAACAAAAATGAGGGTGAGGTGGGACCACAGAGAACATTTTTCTTAGTTTTTTTTTAATTCTCAGTGGAGGACATGCTTATTGATTTTGGGGACAGGGTAAGGGAGGGCAAGAGAGAGAGAGAAAGATAAACATCGATGTGGTCGGTTGCCTTTAGTACGCGCCCAGGGACCGAATCTACAGGCACATAGGTGTCCTGACCAGAATCGAACCTGTGAACTTCCAGTTTACAGAATGATGCTTCAACCAACTGAGCCACACCAGCCAGGGCTGCTTAGTTTTTAATCTGGCTCTTAAAGACTGTTCTCAAAATGGTTTTAGAAGTGTTTTCAGTAATGATGGTATTACTGGTATATGTATATAACTTATGGAAGTGATTAATTTTAAGGGATCATTTTGGTATGTTTTAAGTTCTAAAACATATTTTCCCCCCAGTCAGAGTGTATCCTTTAATCAGAAAGTCTGATTAAATTCAATATTAACTGATGTTGCTGACAATATTTTGGTGGAAAAGCTGCCAAAGTTTTGGTTTTCGAAAACAGGTTTCAAGATTTACCAAAGAAACTATATAGACCCCCAACAGTACAAAAATTTATCAATGAAGTTTAAGGATAGAGGGAAAACCAAATATGACAGTACACATGAATTATTTATAAAATAAGCCTTTTAATCCTAGTGGCGAGGCCTCATGAGTGGTAACACACACAAAACAAGGCTAGTAGCACATGGAACAAACCCAGACATTTTCCCCAATGACTGAGCTATAAAATAGCTCAGGATACTGTTAACATGTAGCTTTTCTTCTGGTTATCAGTTTATATGTCTACAATTAGGGTAAATTGTTTCTACTCAATTACCATCATTTCTTCCTTTTTAACTTTTTCTTAATTTTCTCTAGCAACTTTTTCCCTTGGTTTGACCAGTTGCACTAGAAAGGTTTGGAACCTAAAGTGAGTATCAACCCTTATTGGAATAGTACTTGGGAAAATCCTAGAAAAGGCAAAGTGTAACTGAAGTGTTCTGATAAAATTAGGCAGCCATTCTCATTGTGATAATATCTCCCATGTTAATAACTAGGTTAATGGCTTCTTCTATGGCTAGGTCACATGACCCAGCATGGTAATGGGTGCTCCCTGGTAAGGTACTGCAAAACTGTGTGCAAACACCCACCATTTAAGCTTTCAATAAATACAACGCATCATTTAAAATTGTCAGTAGCATCAATTAAAAATACTGCATTTTTATTGGCCTCTTGTGCTTCTTGAACTGGCTTGGCTGTACTGTTTATGACACAGAAGACAGAATTGTTAATTAGTTGCCACTATGAGTTCCTTAGAATTCAGTACTTCCTGATCTTCAGGCCTTGGCACTATTTTTTCAGCAATAAAGGGATTCTTTTTTAGTGTCACCGCTGCTATGGCATCAACATCCCCAGGGACTGGAGTGATGTAACTGGCTTTTTCCAGACTCCTTCAAAATCCACGTCTCTGACCAAGTTGAGTTCATAGTGATGGGATCTTGAATTTTTATTTATTCCCTCATCAACAATGGCTGCTGCTTCTTTGATCGTATATGAGTATGCAGTGATCAGATTTGGAATGCCTGCAGTAGAGACCACAGTATCTGCAAGAATTATGTATTTCTTCAGCTGCTTTTTGGGAGTGTATCGTATCAAGATACTGTAACAGCGACATTACCTGCAGGACATTTGTCTACTGCATTTGTGTGTAGTAACATTGCAATGGCCATTCCAACATTTTTTGACCTTCCCGCTACAACCGCATTCTTTCCTAGGGTGGGAATAGTAGTTTGCTTAATTATTGCCTTATACCCCATGGGGTAGGTGGTAACATGGAATACTGGGCCAAACACATTAGCCCTTCCTTAATTACATGAAAACTGTCAACATCTTTGTCTGGAGAAAACAGAATTGCAGGTCTTTTACCAGTGTGCTCTGGGAGAGGCAGCTGAACAAGGAGGCCACCTACATTATCATCATTATCGTTTATTAATTAAATTCAACAGTTCTTACTCTAATATTAAAGCTGGTTTCACAGTATTCTCACTGTTGATTCCCACTTCTGCAGGAGCCCTGGTTTTGTTGAGGACATAGGAATGAATGACTTGCAGGATTCTCACCAAACAGAACCACTGTCAGGTGTGGCTGTTTGTTGCCTGGTGCTATCTACTCTTTCATCTCCAGCTGCACTTCCTGCTTGATCTGCTTGGCAAGTTTCCTTCCTAAAATGACAGCAGCTT